TCAGAATGAGCTTCCTATGACCCTGACCTTTCCCCTAAGTAACATTTATTTCCGGTTTGCCATTTTTTAAAAGTGGGTTTTCTAATTCTTGCAAATCTTCTAAGGTAACTTCCAGTTTTTCCCCTCATTGGACTGGAATGTACTGCACAATATAGGGGCAGTGGTATCTTCAAACCGAACCAACAAATCAAAGATGACCTGCTGAGAATTATCTGTAGGTCTCACGAAATGAACAGAAGCCGAAATGATCATTTTTAAGGGAAAAAAATCCATTATGCATTAAAGAAAGAGATCCAGTGTTGCTAGGTTTGAGCTGGAATTCCTAGAGCTTTTGTTTCATTAGCCCAAAGAACAAGAGCTGGAAGTATGATTAGAGTTTCTTTCATGAAATCCAGATATAGAGAGTGGAATTCTGCACTGGGTGAGATACTTTTGAAGGACCTGGTAGCATACCAGTTTTGGAAGACAATACCTTACTGCAAGTTTCCCTGGATTCTTTGAATTTTAGCCTTCCAGCTGACAATAGTAAGGACATTAAGTGCAGGATCTGAAAATGCTTCTTAATTTACAGTAGATGCTCCATCTTTTTCCCCCCAGTAGTTTTATTTATTAAATTTATTTGCTGTCCACCTTAGTTGGAATGTTCAGTTAAGAGATGTGGAATAGATTGAGTCTGAGGGGCATGAAACAGCGAGGGAGGGCCGTCTGCCAGCTCCCCGTGGTCTTAGTTGCTTTATCGATAGCGGGACACTCATTTCCTTGAGCTAAAACCTGTCCACATCTGGCACAAGGAAAGCACAAAGATGAATCATTTTCAAATTAGGTAGGCCATCCCTTTCATATATTGTTGATCTCTCTCTACCATCCATCCATCCATCCATCCATCCATCCATCCCTTTTATCAAGTGAGAGGGAGAGAGAGATAATTTCACATGATTCCCTTTAAAACCCTAATTTGCTCAGAACTACTCAATCATTGTCCATGCTCATTGGGCTAAAAGTCACTCCTGATAGTGAGATGGGCAGCATATAGATTTAATAAAACACACACACAAATACATACATCGTACCTGGGCTGAACCATTTACTAAGATGAAAGAGGTGGGGACAAAAATTTGCTTCCTAAGACAGAGTTCCAGGATCCTACAGGTAGGAAGACTCATGCCCAGGCATCGTGCCCAACACTAAGAAGAAACATTGCAAATGTCAGAGGCAGAAATTTCCAGTATCTGTGTTTGCTGGCGTCTTTCAGCACCCTCTTTCAGGGACAGCACCACAGTTGGCATTCTCTGCATGCTTTTGTCACTGGAAGATATCCGCCCATAGCCCCCCCTCACATGGACATCTAAACAAGGAAAAAAGTAAAATCCAAGGACCTCCTTCAATTGTTGCTTCAAAAGCATGACCTGAAAGTACTCCCTTTGAGGAACAAGAATTAGAAATTCTGGAATACTTGGCTCACTGTTATGAGCAACAAGCCCTACCCAGCATTACTTATAAAGATGGATTTTGAATGCACAGAATGAAAGACTGTTGAATTTACCAATAAAGGAGAATATTTGTAGCTCAGGGTTAAAATGAGGGGTCCTTGGTGTTCCCTGTTTGAAAACAACCAAGCTTGGAGAGCACCAAGGATCCCTCACTCTTGAATTTCCCAAGTACTTCAAAAAAATTTAACCAAATAATCAGTTATCAGGACACTGGCATACATTGGTATCATTAGGAGCAATTTTCTAACAATCCTACCAAGAGATGGACATTGAGTGGAATAAGATTATTTTCAGAGCCTGCAAAGAGCTTTAAAGGTCTTTAAGCTTTAGGTCTTAAAGAATTTCAATGAGCTTTATCAAGTGAAGTTTAAAAATTTCATGATAACTTGGGCTTAATATAAGAATTTTATATAACGACGGCATTACTTTTCATATTAAATGATATACACCATTGGCCAAATATTGCCAATAATCATACTGCATCAGTTCCCTTCAAATGACTGAGCACCATTCATTTAAAACCAAGTTAGTATATATGATGGTCCTTCTGAAAGTATATTCAGAAGTAATACGTTTTCCATCTATAATTAAATCTCCAGTTCTAGAAAAATCTTCTATCTTCCCATTTCTTGAACTGAATAAATTTATCCTCTTACTTCAAAAGGGAAACAGTAAAAAAATGGAACAAGACAGGAAGATCAGTTGCTTCCACATTTTAAAGTAAATAACGATTCGAGATAGTAGATATTAATTTCTTAGTGTCAAGGAGGAATTGCACCACCTGAACTGAGGGACGCCTCAGGGCTAACTTGGTTTGGTCCATCAACCAAGATTATTGGCACTCAGTTGCTTAAGAGGAGCTGCATCAAAATAATTCTTCTTCCTTCACTTTGTTTATACTGTGTGTGTAACAAAAAGTGAATTCACATAAAAAGATTAAATTGACTTCACTTCTGAGGCTCAGCACAAATTCCCAGGCTGATGATCTGGCACTCAATGAAAGCTTATGCCGGGCATCCCTGTTGCTTTAATGCTCGGGTTCACACATGAGGCTAAATCAAGGTCTGTTAACTAAGCCACAATTAGCTGGGATTCTAAAACAATTTACAAGCCATATGCTATCATTAAAAGGCCAGGATGGCTACAATCAGACATGTCAAAGCAGATAAAAACAGGATGCAGAATTAGGGCTACCAAGCCAAACAGACGGCAAACCACATCATGGCTTAATGAAAGAAGGGCACCCCACTGACCTTCTCTGCGCTTGGCTCCAGTTTGCAGATTGTTATGTCCTGGGGAGGAAGGTGGGGAGTGGGGGAGCTCCCTAAGCATGAATCCCACAAATCTCACCCTGGAAGGAAACGGGGCCCTTTTTTATCAGTTTGAAAAATGCATCAGCCTACACAAAATTCTGCATTTAAGGATGGATCAAAATCCAAGCATTTCTCCCTTATGCCGTTAGTCCCTGCTAGCCCCTAAAACACCCTCTGTCTAATCAGGCAACGTGGCCACACAAACCCAGCAGCAAAACACTGGCATTGCTTTGATTTGCTGCCCACTGTCCGATTGCGCTTCTCTGCAAGTTGTGTGATTCTGTGTTGATTTTCGCAGGCAGTGAGAGGGTCTCTCGCTTACAGGTTAGTCTGTGGAGCGAGCTGGATCAGCTGATGGGCAGTCCCCCCCCCCCGCATCGCATCCCTGAGCAGAACCCCCCCCCCCAAGCGGCACAGAGGAGCTGGAGGCAGCTGCTGTGAAGAGGCATCTTTCTGGGAGCTGCTGCTTCTCCACCAAAGTGGTCTTGAGGTGGGGGGGAGGGGAGGGGAGGGGAGGGGGAAGACATCCTTGCCTCCTCTGCCTGGTCAAGAAGGTTCAGAAGGGGGTGCATGAAAAAGACGGGTTCTGCAGGAAAAGTTTGCTGGTGGCACAAGGTAGGTGTTTGTGTGTGTTTTGTGTTTATATGCGTGTGTGATTGCAAAGGAGGATAGGAAGGCATCCCTTTGTGGAGAGTGTACGTTTGTCATCTGCCTGCCTCAAAAGACTACAAAGTCCATGACCGATTTTTCTCAAGATGCAGCAGATTCCTGGGTCAGGTCAGGGTCAAAAAGGCAGGGGGGAATTCCTAGTCCTTGTTGAGGAGGGGAAGCAAAGAGATGGGCGGGGATCAACCAGATCCCAAAGCAGGGCATTCAAGTAAGCCATCTTTTGGGCAGAGTAGCCTGGAGAAAATGGTGAGCTTTGGCCACTTGGAATCCTTGTGGGATCCGTCTCTCCCCCCAAAGCTCCCTTTTCAGATACTGGATGATCTGCTGCCTTCTTAGCAAGGCTGGCTGAATAAAGTTTCACTTTTTTATTTTAAACCAAGACCAGCAATTTTGCAGGCTCTATTTATTAGCCGTACTTTCTCCATCAGTCGCCTGCTAAACATCGCAGACCACGGTGGCCATCCTCCTCAACTGGGAGAACCCTCTGTTGTATGGAGGGTAGGGGATGGGAAGTGTAGTCACGACATAAAGGCTTGGGAAAGCTAGGTTGTTCTGCTCTCCCCTCCCTTCAGAAAAAAAGCGGGGGAACAGAAAATGAGCTTTAGGGAGAGCAGAGCTTTGGGGGCAGGTTTGCCAAATAGGCTTCATGGGGCTAAAATGTTGGGCAATTGTTGTGAGTGTCTCCATCTGCTTCTGCAAACAGCAGCTGGATTTATGACTGGAAAGTCGTCTAACGTGAAATGAGGTCCATGCTCGCTCTTCCTTGATAGCAGTTCCAGAACCTTGCCCCAATTAGACACAGGGACAGCTTTTCCCCTCATGCCTTCATTCTGCTGAACCCCTAATTCTCACAGTTCCGCCTAAGGTCTATGCTTATTAACCCACATGGTGTGGCTGTAGTATTATCATTTCTCCTCCCTATCTTCTTTGCTTCCCTTTTTTATTGGGATGGTGATGATTTGCGGCAAGTCAGCCAGATGTTCAGTCTGGGTTTGACATTTTTGTCTACCTACTGAGTCCTTTCCCAGGACCTGGGATAGGCAGATGTGGACGTCTGATGGTGTCACAGATCTCATCGGAGGATGGAAGCCGTTCTGAGTAAAGCTGCCTTTTGCAATTGAAATGATGGCGAATTTGTCACAGCCGATGGTGCTCAAGTGGTGCTCCAGTTGTTATTATTACTGTCTCTGTTGCTTTGCATGGACATGGAGCACATCTGTACCGGAGACAAATTCCTTGTGTATCTAGTCCCACTTGGCCAAATAAAGTATTCAATTCAATTTAATTCAGTTCAGTTCAATTTAGTTCAGTTCGAAGTATCCCTGGAAGGTACAGTCCTTGACTCTAGGGTAAAATCTAAACCAAGCAAAAATAACTGTGAAGTAGAAAAAAATATTCCAATCGGAGCCCCAAAGAAATAGCTACTCTCAGGGTTGGAAGCTGCTCTCCCTGCTTTTCCTGACATGACCAGCCAGTCAGTGGAAGGCCACCTGCTTCTCCAGCTGCCTGAAGTTTTTGTAGGGTTTTGCACATTGAGTTGGGAGTGCTGAAAGATAGCATTAAAATGAGGTTTAAGATCAAAAGACAGCAGCCCTCCCCCCTTCACATTTCTCTTACATACCCACTCTTTGACACACACACATACACACAAAGCAAGGAAGGAGGGTGTCCAATAAGAGCTGTCAGTGATTGAATGCTTCCAAATTGGTCAATTATCTCACTTTAAATGGATTAATCCAATCATTAGCCAATTACTTTAAGTGCTTGAATGTACTTCAAAAAAAAAAAAGAAAAAGCAGAAAAAAAAGGAAAGAAAGAAAGAAAAGGCTCAGGAACGTGGACGGGGGCACCTCCGTGGCAAGCTTTTCTTCCCCGCAGAAATAAATTTCTGGGAACCTGGAAGAAGACCTGGAAGGACAAAGGGGGCAGGGAAGGAGTGGGACCTGTGGCCCCCAGATGTTCCTAGAGCCAAAAGGGAAGCATGTCAGGAATGGATGATTGGCGCCATTGGGAGAACTACACATTTCTCACCTCTGTTTTAGGTGGGGTTTTTTTTTTACCATTTTTGTTTTAATGTGTGGCTGGTGTTTGAGAGCCTTCTGAAACCAGTTGTGACTGAGGATAGGCAGAGACTAGTACATGCAAGGGACATCGTACTTGGGTGTTCCTCTGCTTAACATCTGCTTGACACGTCACCAGGACTTCCCTGTTTGGCCAATGGAGACCTCTGATGGTCTTGATGGGAGAGGAGGCCCCTTGTTTCATGAAACCTTGTTTTTTTTTTAACCACCCCAGGCAGTGTCTTCCTCTAACTTTGGCCATGGAGAACATCAACAGCAGCAAAGTAGACACCCCCACCAACATCTCCTTGGGGATTGGCGGTCTCCCATTCAGCATCTTTGAATACAAGACCATCTCAGTCTTCCTGGTGCTTGCCATATGTGGAATTGGCATTATTGGCAATGCCATGGTAGTCACCATTGTTCTGACCACCCGTGACATGAGGACTCCGACCAACTGCTACTTGGTTAGTTTGGCTGTGGCTGATCTGATCGTTCTAGTGGCTGCTGGCCTGCCCAACATCTCTGACAGCCTGGCAGGAACATGGATCTATGGCTTTGCTGGGTGCCTTGGCATTACCTACTTTCAGTACCTGGGCATCAATGCATCCTCCTGGTCTATTACAGCTTTCACTGTAGAAAGGTAAGGGTAGATTTCAGTATCTGATCTTTCTAACTGGAAATGCTGCATATTGAACAAGGGACCTTCTGAGGGCCAGGTAGACCCTCCCCAAATGTGTTTGTGCAAAGGGCTACACAAGAGATGGTATCCTTCATGAGATGCCACTCAGTGGCCCCTTCTGCACAAGGCAGGAAGTGACCCAGACAAAGGAATCAGCTTAAACGTCCTTGCTAGATGGAGGTGACTCTTTCTCCCATGTTGCCTTTCAGATCACATGCTCTCTTACCTCCCTCTCTCTCCTTCCTCTCTTTCCCAGATATATTGCCATCTGCCACCCAATGAAGGCACAGACAATGTGCACTGTGTCTCGGGCCAAGCGCATCATGGCATTTGTTTGGATACTCACTTCAGTGTACTGCATGCTCTGGTTCTTCCTGGTGGATGTGTCTGCTAACAACAGCCAGCAGCTGGAGTGTGGCTATAAGGTCTCCCGCAACCTTTACCTGCCCATCTACCTGCTGGACTTTGCCCTCTTCTTCATCACACCTCTGCTGCTCACCACTGTGCTCTATGGCCTCATTGGAAAAGTCCTCCTCCAGAGTCATGCCCTGCACCACACCGCTGGCCTCAGTGAACACTGGCGAGAACGAAGCAACCAGGAGAAAAACGGCACCGAGGTTGGCCAGAGCAGAGCTGGCAGTTCAAGAGCCAGAGTGCCAGTCTCTTCCAGGAAACAGGTGGGCAGACCTGGCTGAGTTTCCAGAGTCCATTTGGGGCAGAGGGGGAAAAAAACACTGCAACCACTCTGGAAGGTTTGTGATTTTTGACCTCATAAGCCAGTGTTTCTCAATCTTGACAATTTTAAGATGTGTGGATTTCAACTCTCAGAATTCCTTAATCCCCTGGCTGGCTGGGGAATTCTGGGAATTGAAGTCCACACATCTTAAAGTTGTCAAGGTTGAGAATCACTGTTGCAACTATAACAAGACGTGCACTTGAGAGGGTCTCCTCCATGCAGGGGTTCCTTTCGCCCTCACCATTTGTAGATGTCCATGCAAACACAAAGCATCTGTCATTCCTCTTGAGTACAACTGAGTAAGTTGAAATATTAGCCAATTTCTATTCAGGTCTGCTTAGCACTCTGGGATTAGCCATCGCTGGACAGATGCTACCATGTGCTGTGACCAAAGGACCCATTGCATTGGTCTTAAATTTCAAAGCTTGACATGCCACCTTCCCCGGCCTTGTGGCTAGCCTTACAAGGCTGTCTCATCTCCTCTGAAGCCCTCTGAGCTCCTCCTTTCTCCTCCAGGTCACCAAGATGTTGGCTGTGGTGGTGGCCCTCTTCGCCCTACTCTGGATGCCCTACAGGACTCTGGTTTTGGTGAACTCCTTTGTGGAGCACCCCTACCTGGACCGCTGGTTTGTCCTCTTCTGCAGGATCTGCATCTACACCAACAGTGCCATCAACCCCATCATCTACAACCTCATGTCCCAGAAGTTCCGTCTGGCCTTCAAGAAGCTTTGCAAGTATAGCGAGGAGGAACTTCAGCAGCAGCGTAGCTTTCACACAGCCTCTGGCAATGAGAGCTCCAGGAAAGTTGGCCCCATCGGCCAGCAGGCCAACCACAAAGCGGGGAGACTGGCTGGGACCATCGGAGCAGAGGCTGAACAACAAACCCTGAGCCAGAAAGAGGAGATGCAGTTCAGCCTGCTTTGAAGGCTCCAAGGCCCTGCCTTTTTGTTTTGCCACACCAGAAACTTACTTCATCTCGCCCCAACACAAGCGGATGCCTTTGAGGGACTTGCAGGTTTCAGTTTTATGGACTTCTTGAACAGGAAAAGCCCCCACAATTTAAGGGACAATTGGTGCAAATCATCCCTTGGGTTTGGCCAAAAGAGGGAAACGGAGGAAGACCCTTCAGGATCTCTCTTTTTGAGAGCCCAGGGCAGGCCAGGTGACTTTCCAAAGCCCACCAGCAGGGGGGGGAGGGGCACCTTTTACTGGAATGGGACTGTGGGTTTCTCCAGAACAAGGTAGGAATTTGCAGTGGAGCCTTCTCCATCTGTACTGGAGCAGACCCTACTGCAGGGATGTCAAACTCAATTTCACTGAGGGCCGCATCAGCATTGCGGTTGCCCTGGGGGGTGGGTGGGTGTGGCCAGAGTGGGTGCAGCCTAATGGGTGGGTGTGGATGGAGTGGGTGTGGCCTACTGGGTGGGCGTGGCCAGTTCTACATCATTCTCATCAAGGGTGCCTATGGGGGGCCAGGGCAGGAGTGAGACAGATCTGAGGGTTTCTGGCAGAAGGGAATGGGACTGGGGCAAGTGCCAAGGCATAGTCCACTGGGGCAAGTGTCAAGATGGCCACCACAACATTGTACATTGGCTCCAGTCTGGCCTGGGCCAAAGCCAAGGCAGCGGGGGCCATTCCCTCACTGTTTCCAGGATGGCTTCGTGGGCCACATGAAACCATTTTGTGGGTCGCATCCGGCCCCCGGGCCTTGTGTTTGACATGTCTGCCCTACTGGTTAGGAGGGCAGCCCCTTGGATGCCTTTCAAAGCAGGCCAGGCAGAATGAGAGAGATAAATGACTCCAGATTTATCATCCATGGCAGGGAATGATGGGGGGAGGGGGGAAGTCTTTATCTCCATGCCCTGATCATGCCCTTTACAGTGCTTTGCTGCCCACTACAAGAATCAAGAATGCTGCACAAGATGGTCTATTTACCTGATACACCAATCCTTTTATTACCTTTTATTTAACTTCAACTGTTGCACATTGGTAATGAGCAAATCTAAGTTCCCACAGATGGAGTGTTTCTATAGACCAACTTCTGTGCCTCCCCCCCTTCTTTCTTTCCTTCTCTGAAGATCAAAATGTTGGTCAAAGGACGGACTTTGCTGCTTCATCATCCATTTCGTTGGAACAGATGATCTGTGAGCACAAATGGTTATATCAGGATAGCCAGAATAGAATGCTGGAGTTATTTCAATGGCCTTTCTAAGTGTATTAAAATTGGAGGTCTGGTTTAAGAGGTCTGAGAAGAACACCTTCCAAATTAATGTAAAGCAAAATCTAAAAGATTCCCATCTCTTCATAAAATTCTAATCTCCAATTCTATAAAATCAAATCAGAATTAAGCTACCAGACTGGAGCTCTCATTCCTTCAGAAGCCGTGATGGGTAAAGTCTCTCTCCCAGGCATAACTGGGAAGGGGGGGGAAAAGCAACTTATTTTTGCTCCCTCGCCAAAGGCAAAATGCTGTCTTTTCCAGTTGAGTGCTGCTTTTCATCTTCAGGCAAATTTGCTTAATTGAAAAGGTAGAAAGCTCTTCCATCTCGCTTATGGTACCAAGCCGCAAGGCATTATGCCTGCAAAACATACAAAGTGCATTTTTATGCAGAAAAAAACCCTGGGTGCCGTTGGAGGTTTTCTCTGTCTCATGGTGAAAATAATCCAGTTTTGCACTTGGTTTCAGGCAAAGGCAGAATCACAGTGGCAAGCCTAGCCATATTGCAGAAAAAAATTCACAGAGAGATGAAGAAAAGGGAGTCAAGAGCAAGAAGGGGAAGATTTATGGATCATCGCACAGTCAGCCAGATGTTCAGACTGGATTTGGCATTTTGTCTACCTATTGAGTCCCCACCCAGGACCTGGGATAGGCAGATGTGGATATTTGATGGTATTACAGATATCGTCGCAGGATGGAAGCAGTTCCTAGTAAGGCTGCCTTTTGCAATTGACTAATAGCAAATTTGTCAATGCCAATGGTGTTCAAGTGGTGCTCCAGTTATTTTGGGATTGCACCCAAGGAGTCTATTACTACTGGTACTACCCTTGCTTGCTTTTGCCACAGTCTTTCTATTTCTATTTGTAGGTCTTTGTATTTTGTTATCTTCTCCAGTTCTTTCTCGTCTATTCTGCTGCCTCCAGGCACTGCCACGTCCACTATCCAGACTTCTTTGTCTTTCTTATCGACAGTTGTTAAGTCTGGGGTGTTATGTTGCAGGTGTTTGTCTGTTTGAATTCTGAAGTTCCAGAGCAGTTTAATTTTATCATTTTCTATGACTTTGTCTATTTTATGATCCCACCAGTTTTTGTTTACAGGCAAATGATATTTTTTGCAGATCTTCCAATGCACCATTGTTGCTACTTTGTCATGCTGCTGCTTGTAGTCAGTCTGTGCAATCTTCTTGCAACAGCTTATCAGGTGGTCCACTGTTTCTTCAGCTTCTTTGCATAGGCTGTTGCTGTCTTCTCAATTTTGACTTTCTATGCATTTGTGTCTTAAGGCTTGGTCTTGTGCAGCCAGAATTAGTCCCTCGGTCTCTTTCTTCAATTTTTCTTGCTCTTAGCCATTGCCAGGTTCTTGTTATTATCTGCTTTCCCAGCTATTTTTTTCATGTATTGGCCATGTAGTGCTTTGTCTTCCCATGCCTCTATTCTGTTCTTCATTTGGTCTTTCTTGTAGGCCAGTTTGGTCTCTCCAGTAGTTAGTAAGCCTTCCTGATATATTAATTTCAGTGCATCTTCATCATTGTTCTTCAGATATTCTTCCAAAGCCATTTTTTCTTCTTCAACCATCTGATGTACTTGTAGCATTCTACGCCCACCTATTTGCCTTGGTAGATAAAGTCTGCCAATGTCACTGCGTGGATGATTCATGATTCATTGTCATTATTTTTCTGGTCTTCCTATCCATTGCTTTTAGTTCTGCTTGAGTCCAGTCTACTATTCCAGCTGTGTACCTAATGACTGGAATTTCCCAGGTGTTGATTGCCTTTATGATATTTCCTCCATTGAGTTTGGACTTTAAGATCTTTTTCACTCTCTTGATGTATTCACCTCTAATCTTTTTCTTGACTTCAGTGTGCTTGATGTTGTCAGCTTGAAGGATACCCAAGTATTTGTAGTAATCTTCCTCATCCAGACTCTTAATGTTATTTTCGTGGGGCATCTTGATTCCTTCAGTTTTCACTACTTTTCCTTGTTTGATAGTAAGTATGGCACATTTGTCCAAGCCAAACTCCATAATAATATCTTGGCTATATATATGGACAGTGTTGAGCAGCGATTCTATTTCAGATGATGTTTTTCCATGCAGCTTCAGATCATCCATGTAAAGGAGGTAGGATAGTCTGGCAGATGTTTTTGATGTTTGATAGCCATGTCCTGAGTTATTCAGTATTGTTGATAGAGGAAACAGTGCAATAACAAATAGTAATGGTGACAGTGAATCTCCTTGAAATATTCCTCTCTTGATATTAACCTCTCCCAGTCTCTCACCATTGATCTGCAACTGTGTCTTCCATTGTGCCATTGATCTTTGCACAAATTTTCTGCTGTTTCTACTGACTCCTGTTATTTCTAGGCACTTGATTATCCAGTCATGTGGCAGAGAGTCAAATGCCTTTTTGTAGTCAATCCATGCCACATTCAGGTTGGTCTTTTCTTGCAGTTTTCCAAGATCATTTTGTCTATTAGGAGTTGATCTTTTGTTCCTCTGCTATTGGGGCGGTTTCCTTTCTGCTCAGGTGGAAAGAGATTGTTTTCAACTAGATGCTGTTGTACTGCATCAGCTACCACACCAGTTAGTAATTTGAAAGTTGTTGGTAAGCAGGTAATTGGCCTGTAGTTGCCTGGTGTTGCCCCTTTTGCTGGATTTTTCATTATTAGGTAGGTTTTCCCAGTTGTTAGCCACTTTTCAATTTCTCCTCCTTGTAGTATATTGTTGAACTGCTTGGCAATGAGTGGGTGTATAACAGTTAGATGTTTCAACCAAAACCCATGCAGTTCATCTTCACCTGGTGCTGACCAATTTTTGATCTTCCTTGCTCTTTTTTCTACCATTTTTGTTATTATTACTAGTTCTTTCATTTCAACTTATTTGCATCCACTTCTTTTAACCAAGCCGCATCCTTGTTGTATTTCTTTGGGTTATCCCATGTCAGGTACTGACTGATTCATTGCAGTTTCTCCATTGATGGATTGGTAGAAACATTTCTGATTAGATTGAAATTGGAGGTTCTGCCTATAGTTTCAATTCGAGCTTCATATCTACTGATTTTCCTGGCTATAGCTGTTATTTGTTGCTTTATTATTTCCAGTGCTTCCTTGATGATGATGATGATTATAAGGGAGCTTTTGCAGAAACCTACCCATCTGAGAAAAAGAATCTTTGTGAGAAAGCTTTTCCGGGAATTCTGACGCAAAATGTACAATTTGAGATATTATTAAAATGAGCTTCCCGTTATATGAATGAGAGATATAATTAGCAGGACACACACATTTTCCCCCTGCAAATTGCCTTAACAGGAAGCCTCTCATCTTCAAGATGAAACAATCAAACAGAACCATATTTTGCAAGAGCTTCTTCTGAATGCAGGGATGAAGGACTATCTTGCCTTGTGATGCTCTAGGAAAGTCTCTGGACAGCTTGAGAAGGAGCTCACAACAATCCTTTTTACATGGGAAAATTGTGCATCATTCATCTTGGAGGAACTTTTTAAAACTGGCACCCATCGGGAAAGAAATAAGCTCTCCAACCTTGCAGGGAACGATGGGCTTTGTATCTGTCTCCATGATCAATAAATCAAAAATAAAGTGGAATATTTTATTTGCTTCCAAATTAATGCCCCATTTAATTAGGAAATGTCCATCAATAAATTAAGATATCTGGGGCAATTTTGGTGCTTTTAGATTTAAGGTGTTAGTTT